CGGGGTTAATGTAGTGCCATTTGGAGTGTGTGATGGGCTGGAGCGGAAGCGGAGGTATGCTATTTATTAGATTTGGTAAGATGCGGTACCAGGTTCCGTGTATTTTATACATTGGGGGAATAATGTTGTTGCAGTCCCTTTGCGTGCCTGAAGTGGTCCAGAGTCTGCTTTTTGGTGTGAGGTAATATGATTCGTTATTGTATGTTACTGGTAGCTCGTTGTAGCAAGTAGTCGTTTTCCTGATATGGCATGTTACTGGTATGCATTTTATTATGTGAATTACTTCGCCTGCTGGAATGGCGAGGTAGCCTGGTTCTTTGGTAATTGTTGCTGCTACTTCTTCTGGTGCTACGTGTATCAATGTTAGTGTGTTTCTTATAACTTGGTTTTCTATCAGGCATCGTTGTGTGATAAGGTTTCGGTATAGATTTGTTATATGTGTTTTTATGTGTTTTTCGACATAGATGAATTTGGAGTTGACGTATGAGAGGCTGTCGAGGTTATTAATTGGTATGGTAGTTACGGTTTTGAATTTCCCGCTGGCTTCTACGTCTAGTATAAGCAGTTTCGGATGTTCCGTTTTTATTAGGGCGTAGCCGCAGGTTGCTGTTTGGTCGGATTGTGTTAGTGCGAATGTCGTGTCTCCTGAGGTGACTGTGTAGACCGTTGGTTCCTTACTGTTTCCTGGTGTGATTTTTGTGGCTTTTCCATCGTATAAGACGTTGTAATTATTGAATTTACAGTAATTCGTTGGTGTTGTATCCCAGTATGTAGAGCCATCTTCGTTGTCAATGCAGTGTCCTGCCTGCCAGCGGCAGTGTTGGCCAGATCGTAGGGTTAGTTGGTTGCTGTCTAATTTTACGGAGGCCGTATAGACTTTTAGTGTGATTTTAACCCTCTATGGGCCGAATTTTTGTTTTAAATATAAAAAAATTGATGGAACGGAAAATCAACAATTATAAACCTATATATGCAGATGAAAAAAAATTTCCAGTTTAAACAGTTTTATTACAATAAATTCACTGTGTGACTTTCAGGTAACAACGGCTTATAATGTTTGCACTCCTGTGTATAAAAACTTAAGCGTGAAATTCTACGAAGCAGTTTGCACTTGGCGTTAAACATAAATGTACATTGCATTTGGAACATTTTATTTTCGGAACTCCTTTACACCCGGGCTTTTTGCAGCGTCCTCTGTTGTCTGAAAAAATTGGCCAATGTGCTACTTCATCTTTTCGCACGTTTTGTACTAGAAGTACTGTATTTGGTCTCCTTTTTCTTTTTTCTTGTAATTGTTTATCTACGTCAGTTGAAACAAGACGCCCTCTTTTCTTACGGATTCCTTTGTGCTCCTGACATAAACAGATGCAATGTCAGTTTTAAATTTCAATAAAGTATATTGACGCCCGGGGCTTACAGAATGCGATGAACAGTCTCGCTTATATAACAGCCAAGCATTGACCACCGTTAAATCTAATAGATGAAACATTATGCGGTGGTACCACTTCCTTGATCGAATTTTTATTCGATACAACGCTATCAATGAATCAACCAAGTCTACTCTACCCATGTGTTGGTTGTATATTTTTACTATATTTGGACGTTGTACATCAATCATTCTTTTCATTTTTTTGTCCCACCTTTTCACTATGTCTGTTGGTTCTATTTCGCAAAATGTGCTCATCAAATGAACGGCCTTATTGTCGTACCACTTCACCGCATTTATAGTGACCCTGTCAATAGATGTAGAGAGTGCTTCATAACTTCCTCTGCCCTTAGTTTTCATGACTTTATCTGACGAAAACTCATAGTTTTTTAGTCGGTTTGACCGCACAGTTGCAACACTCTCAATTCCAAATTTTTCTAATTCAGTTACTAAAGGAACGGTTGAAAACCAATTGTCGAAACAGATTTTGTGAAACAATTGCTTGGGTACAATTTTTGATAAGCGTAATACTACATTGCCACTACTTCCAACATCAGGTAATTCGTAATCATGTATCACTTTGACGGTGTAAATTTCAAAATTGTAAATGAGTCCTGATGAATCGCACAACAAAAAAGCTTTGTAGCCCCATTTTTTAGGTTTTTTAGGCATATACTGTTTTAGCCTGTCTTTCTTTGAATGGTATTATTTGTTCGTCAACACATACGTGTTCAGACATCGGAATGCGATTAAAATTTTTAACTAATTTATCGAGAATGGGTCTTATTTTTTGTAAATTATCCGTAACCTCTGAATTGTTTGTATTAGCCTGTAAATTTCTACTAAAATGTATTTTGGATTTTATTTCTTTCCATCGCGTACGACTCATAGTATCGGCAACAGCAGACACTCTGGTCTCTGACTTCCAATACATTTCAGATCTTGGTAACCCGTAAATAGACATAAAAAAACAGCAACCAAAGAATTGTTCGATTTCGTTCGCTGAAACAGCTATGGGTTTTGCTGGATCACATTGCAATGCATACGTATTGGTATAGTCAACTATATCACTTATAATTTCCGTGTCAAATAGTTTTGGAAAATAGGTCACAGGAGAATGGGGTGCTTCGGGGACATTAGGGCAATCTCCTTTCCAAGGGCGATGACAACTATTATTATTCATCTGGGATACTGGTTGCCAAACAATTCTTTGTGGTCCTGAATTTTCCTCATCCGACGAGGATTGCGTACTAAATTCTTCGTCACTGTCCATTATATTTATCCGTCGTCGGGGAAATACTATTAGATCTTCATCGGACTCAGAATCTAATAATGAATCTTCTGATCTATTACCGCTGATGCGTCTATTTCCTCTTTTATTTTTAACCGGTTTTTTTATTCATATTTTGGGCATATGATGTATAAATCTGAAAACAGGAGAAAGCACAAGCTTTATCCTAAATATACCGAAATCTGCCATAATAGCCCACTGTAACCTCAAAGTTACGGAACTGTATCTTAAAAAAATAGTAACAAAATGATAATTGAAATGCAAACTAATAAGTTGTTATTGATATACAAACCCAGAGCTATTATATACACTATTTTTTGTTCGGTAAACACCGACAGAAGAACAAGTAATATCAATTGGAACAAATGGTTTCGCTTGCTTCTACTGCAGACAGTTTGCACGGCATTTGTTTTGTTATTTCAGGTTGATGGTACTAGCAACCGTCATGAATATTGGTATTGGTTGTCTCGGAGACATTATAGAATTAAGATGTATACGCCATCTCATGAAAAAAACTAAAATTATTTGGTAAAATGTCGATAAATTAGCATGTGACCTGAAAGTTACATGGACGCATAGAGGGTTAATAACGTCCTGGACCACTACATTCGTCCAGGTGTCGAACGGGTCAGCGTAAGTGGTTCCGGTGCATTCTCCTTCCGGTCCGATTTTTCCAGCTAGTGTGAGTCCATGAGAGGTTGTTGTATTTGGTGGAATTCCGGTTATTAGGGCTGTCTGTGTAATTAGGGTTGATCCCGTGGAATGAAGTAGTTGGCAGGCTTCTCGAGGTGTAGGTTGGACATACTGTTGTCTTCCGTTGTGTACCACAGACATATGTGAGTGCATACCGCAGTAGTAGATCGTCTTGTCTATTTCGATGTGGCATTGCGTGACTGGCACATCATTGAAATCTGCCAGTTGTAGGAGCTGGATGTCTAGTTTTTGTGTTTTAACACGTTGAGTGCCACGTCAGTCAGCGGTGACTGACACTGAACTTTCCGCTTAGGCCGCGTCAGCCACCGGTGACTGACAGTGTAAAATATGATATGAAACTAAAAAATTTACATTGTTTTAAGTAATTACTGAAAATTTATTTCAAATTTACTTCAAATTTACCAAAGTTTTTGGTGTTTGTGTCGTTGTTTTTTAGAAGTTGTTGCAATACTGCCAGATGGAATGTCTTCTTTTCGGCAATATGTAAGGTGTACTGCTAATTTTTTCCGGAATTCAGTGTTACGAGTTACGCTTGTTGTGTCCTCACACGGAGCGTAATATTGGTTTGGGTTTGTGGATCGGTCAAAACGTTCACCGTATGAGGGTTATACGTTGTTGACAACAAATCCGACAGGATTGGAACCTTCGGCGTATGTGATATATACGCCGTTCTCCGAAGGGTGGAAAAGATTGGAGGTTCAACGTGTATTGTTAACACGTCGTTGACAAGGTTTGTGGTGGACCGGTCAGAACATTCAACGTATGTGGTTAATACGTCGTTCTCCAACAAGTCCGATAGAATTGGAATCTTCGGCGTATGTGGTTAATACGCCGTTCTCGGAAGGATGGAAAGGGTTGGAGGTTCAACGTATACGTTGACGGCATGGGGTGGTGGACCGGTCAGAACATTCAACGTATGTGGTTAATACGTCGTTCTCCGACTTGTCCGATAGGATTGGAACCGTCGGCGTACGTGGTTTATATGCCGTTCTCCAAAGGATGGACAAGGTTTAGTGGTTGTGAGGACAGTACGTATCGTAATGTCGGATATACCTTTGTGAGTTTAACTATTTCGTTACTAATGTTACAAGGAGATGGTTAATTGAATATAGGCTGAGCAATTCTATAATAGCTATATTCTAATAATATTCAATGAGGTTACAATAAGATTACAATGGTTTAAATATGAATTATAATGGTTGATTCTTGGCTGAGCAAGAATCTTCCTTCTCGACTTTACACGGTGAGTACGCGGGGACGTCGTAGACAAATATATCTAGTTGACATTTACGAGTTTAGTGTTATACTTGGTTGCTCGAAAGGGAATTGAGCCCCATCTTGCTCGTGTCGAACGATGACTATCTATACAGATACTGCTCTACTTTAACGTTCAGGGTAACTCTGAACTGTGACTGCCCCAGAGCCTCGAAAATCATGCCCTTATATACCCAAAAATCTGTATTTTTTGGGTGGTGGGGGCCTTAATTTTCCCATGAGAACGAAGCGCGTTCGTTTACTTTATCTCAAGGGGGTGAGCTCTAGGCGGATGTCTCGGTGCCGCCGTGTCGGCTAGTTTGCGTACGTAACATCAGTAATACTGATATTCTTCTTCGTGATATCTTTATATAAAATATAATTATTTAGAACTGTAGTATCCAATAACAGTTCAAAGGTTAGCTTTCTGTACCATTTCATGGACCTGCGTAGTGGATTATTGTAGGCATTCATTTGGTCGGATAAGTCGACAGCTGCCTTTCCTCTGTTATAGTCGACTATAATTTGTGGTTTTAAATTGTGTTCTGATCGACTTTCAACATTCACCATTTCTGATGAATGATTTGTCGATAGAACTAGGATGTCCCGTTTATCTTTCCATTTTAAAGTGGGTATTCCTTGTTCATTTTCTTTTGCAATGATTTCTCCCCGTTTTAATTTTTTTGATATTACTTGCTGCGGATTTCTTCGTCGATTTGAACGTAATGTTCCTACTAAATGAATATTTTTATTGATTAATTTTTCCGCTAATTCCAAGCTTGTATACCAGTTGTCAGTGTATAGCGTGTGTCCCTTATCGAATAAATCTCTGCAAAGGGACATTACGATTTTAGTGGGCGTAGTATTTTCTTTTTCTAAAGTTTTCCCTGTATATACACGAAGAGCATATGTATAGCCCGGTTTTAAATATTGTCTAAATATAATGCGGCCACGAAACGGAATTAAGGATTCATCAATACATACAGGGTGCGTTTCACAAGTAGTAGGACTGACTTGATCAAAACAAATTTATTGCAGATATTCGTATAAGTCGTTAATATTCTTCGAAATAACACCCTCCTGAATTAATACATTTAGTATAGCGAGTCTGCCAGTTCGCATACGCCTGCTGGAAATTTTCAACCGGGATGCTCCTCAATCCACGCGTTACGGCCTCTTGCACTGTCTCAATTGTGTCAAAACGACGTCCTTTCATCTGCCTTTTTAATCGGGGAAAAAGGAAAAAGTCAGGTGGAGCCAGGTCCGGGCTGTAAGGTGGATGAGGTAGCGTTAGCAAGTTGTGTTTGGCCTGCCACTCCTGTACCAACAGTGCGGTGTGGCACGGTGCGTTGTCGTGATGCAATTTCCAAGTGCTGGCCATCGCTGGTCTCACGCGGAGCACTCTTTTCCGTAGTCGTTCGAGCACTTCCAACTCTTCGGCAATCAGTCGAATAGTCAGACGACGATCAGTGTCCAAAATCTCTTTCACTTTCCGTACATTTTGATCACTTCGAGATGTTGATGGTCGTCCTGAGCGATGGTCATTTTCAACTTGCTCCCTTCCTTCCTTAAACAATTTGTGCCATTCAAAAATACTTGATCGGCCCATTGAATTATTTCCAAAAGCATCCTTTATCATTGTGTAAGTCTCGGTTGCAGTTTTCCCAAGCCTCACGCAAAATTTTACCGCGTAGCGCTGTTCGAGTGTACGGTTCATCTTGGCTTGTGACGAGATGTGTAAACAGAGTCTCAATGTTTTGGCGATATTTACTATCCAAACGCTCAGAGGCGACTATGTAAGCATGCATTCTCTTCGCGGCACCCTCCCCCACAATTCCCACCAATAGAGACTTTGTTTCTACGTCTCGCTCGGACTATAGAAAATCAGTCCTACTACTTTTGAAACGCACCCTGTATGTCCTCGGTTGGATTGTAATATTTTTTAAAATTTATTTACAAAGTGTCTATAACTGGTTGTATTTTGAACAAACGATTGGAACCATTACTGTTTCTGTTATCTGCAAAATGTAGCATTCTCAATAACAGTTCAAATCTGTTTCTGGACATGATTTTTTTCGGAAACGTTTGCATATACACAGGATCATGGAACCAATATAAATATATGGTTGGTAGTTTCACTAATCCCATCCATAGAATTAGCCCAAAAAATCTCTTTATTTCACTTTTATTTGTCACTGTCCACTTTGCCAAGCGCTGCGTGCATCCACCTTCTAATTGCTGTGATGCATATAAGTTTGTTTGTTGGGCGATTTCTTCGAACAATTTATCCGGCACAAATAATTCATAGCAGGTTTCTATCGCTATATCTGACCTTATATGCAAATTTTCACTTACAAACCCAGAAGGATGTGTAAAAGGAACAATGTTTGACAGAGTACCCCTCGGATCATGCCATTCTCCAACATTCTCCTCCTCTTCCTCAGATGATAAAAATAGTACATCCACTCTATGCCGTTTTTTAGCAAAAATAATTTCACTGCTATCGCTTTCACACTCTTCGACTGACATTTTTACGTTCAAGGGTAAAGAAAGTTTTTTGTCTGCACTGGGCGAAGAACCGCAAAGAACTGAATGAATATAAACGTAAAGCATTTCTAAAATGTATCACGTGAAACATTTCTAAAATGTTTGTGTTACTTTGTCGTAAACAGAACCCCGGCCGCGAGCCGATTTCGATGAAATCTTATCTAGCGGGCCGAACGATAAACAAGACAAAACAAACTTGGCGCATAATGTGTTGAATGAATGTCTATAAGCATTTCATTCTAAACGTAAATATCTTCTACTGCGATAAGAAGCAATGGCCCTAATATATTTACACATCTGTATCGAGTAAATTTCAATCTGTTAGTAGTGCGCTTCTAAGCAGCGCGCGTGGCCTGACGGGGATTTCCTTAAGAATTCGCGTGGCGCTCAACATGTTAATAGTGGTGTCCTCCGGGTCGCAGGATACTGGGTCGATGGTTGATAGTGTTGTTGTGTTTAAGGTGGGACCGCCGCAATCGTAACCCACGAGTGCGGATGCTTGAGAAACGAGGAGGCAGAACACAGAGAGGGAACACATGTTGGCGCTATGGGTACTCGCGGTTGACTGGTTCTGTTGTGCCTCGCTTGCCGTTACGTATCTGGGTCGTTCTGGGGTGGGGGGCGCGTCGTGTGCGACAATGTGGTTGACATTTGTGGATCGGACTTTCCGGAGTTTATTTGTATGGACGATTCGGGATCGTCCCTAGATGAGTATGCGTGCGTTATTTTGTGGTAGTATTTGTATTATTTTATGTGGACCGGTATACTGATCGTCGAATTTTCCTTTTCGTGGTTCTTTAAGGGGGGAAACCAGTTTAGATGGCTCAAAAAATCGAAATTTTTTTTATTCTATAAATTATTAGTAAAACTATTCAGGAATATGTTCCCAAAGTTTCAAATAAAAATTCCAGTTCGTTCTGATGCTGTGAGCGGTAAAGTAAGCGCCCCTCGGTTCAGTGCCGGAGCGCGCAGCGGGTAGAACGGAGCGGTCACTTAGGTAGTCGGTTATTCACTTACCTGGCTCAATACGAATATGCTATTTTTCATATTAAGGTTTGAATACGCGTTTAATGTTTCGTTCGTTAATTGTTCCTTATTGTCAGGAGAGCTCCAAACCTCTCACAAAGTGTATGAATTCTGCTGTAAGAAAGCTATAGAAGAAGAAAGGAAAGAGAATGAAAAACACGAAAGACCTATTCTGAATTTTAAAGTATCTGGTGATGGAACTTGGAAGAAACGAGGATTTAAATCATTATTTAGCATAACAACTCTTATAGTATATTACTCTGGAAAAGTCATCGATCTGGTTGTACGGAGTAGTTACTGTCATGCGTGTGCATTGTGGAGGAACAAGCCGAAAACTTCACCAGAGTATCTAGCATGGAAAGAGGATCATGACGAAGAAACTTGCACAAAAACACATGAAGGATCTGCGGGAAGCATGGAAGTGGAATCTGTTAAAAAGATGTTTTCGAGATCAGAGGAATTATATGAAGTGAAATACGGTAATTATATCGGCGATGGAGATTCAAAAACGTTCACGGCAGTTGTCAATTTAAATCCTTACGGTGATGAACTGACAGTTGTCAAAAGTGAATGCATAGGCCACGTGCAGAAAAGGATGGGAACTCGGCTCCGAAACGTCAGGAAAGCTAAAAAATTGGGCGGAAAAGGAAAATTGACGGAGGCTTTAGTGAAAAAACTCAGCACGTACTACGGCTTAGCGATTAGAAGAAATGTTGATAGCGTCGAAGACATGAAGAAGGCCATAATGGCAACTTACTATCACATGATATCGACAGATGACAATCCACAACACGAAAATTGTCCAGAGGGAGTAGACAGCTGGTGCAAGTGGAAACAAGCTGAAGCTCTTGGAACGGACCCTGAAACACATCCGACTCCATTGCACCCTGATGTCCAGAAAGAAATTCTTCCGATATATGAAGATTTATCGAGAAATGAGTTACTGGAGAGATGTTTAGGCGGCCACACACAGAATGCAAACGAAAGTTTCAATTCAACCGTTTGGCGGTTGGCTCCGAAACACCTGCATTCTGGTTTGAAAGTAGTCGAGGTCGCAGCATATTTGGCTGCTTCCTTATTCAATGAAGGAAATTCAGCCCTTTTATTGGTGATGAACGAGCTGAAGATTGTAGTTGGTAGCCGCTGCTTCAGTTACGCACAAGAAATGAATGAGCGGCGCGAGAGCCGACAAAATCGACGCAGCGCTTTGGAGACCAAGGAAACTCGGAAAGCTCGAAAAGAGGAGTTGCAAGCTCAAAACGAAGCGTATGAAGAAGAAGAAGGATTGCTATATGGTGCTGGAATCGCTGATTAACCGGTAAGCAGTTTAAATCATTTATTACTGCCCTAAATTTTATGTTTTCGGTAATTTTTTTTTCAAACGCGTTTTTCTCGAAAGGACTTTTTTTCAAACTGTGTACACTCTAGCTCAAAAATTTGGGGGTAAAAAGTAATAGGTAGTTTCTTTATTTAATTGCGAATTATATGAACCTAATTCTGGGGTAATATCATTGCATAAAGTATGTTTTTTATTGCAAAACAGTTATGAAAAGATGGCAAAAAATGATACCTTTTCGTTTAAACACCTATAAAACATGCAATTTTCAACTTTTTGGGTCAGAGTTAGGTTCATATAATTAGAAAATATGTTTTTAATGTAATTGCAAAACCATATTGATTTCAGATGAAAACTATGACCTCCAGAATGTACATAGATAACAAAGTCTGATGGCGACCTTCGATGGGCGGCAGCTTATATATCAAATATTTTCAAAGGAAATGGATTAAAAAAATTACAAGATATGTTTGAAAATATAAATAAAATATTCTCCAAGTTTAAACAAATTCTATTCATTCCTTCCTTGTTAAAAAAAAAATCATGAAAATCACTAAAAAACGGACTCCTAAACTGGTTTCCCCCCTTAAGTAGGTAAACTTTGTCCCCTGCTTTAAAGATCTCGGTGTGCATTTTGCGGTCGTAATAGGTTTTTAACCGTTCCTTAGCGGAGCCTAGGTTTTCCCGAGCTTGGGTGATGGTATTGTTGAGTTTGATTTGTAGGTCGGATAGGTAGGAATTGTACGTAGGATCTGGTGTTTCTATAAATGAGGAGCTGGATGGGAGGTGGGCTAAACGGCCGAACACTAGTTCGTGGGGTGTGAAATGTGTTCCCTCCAAAACGTGTTTTTCGCGAGAAAACAGCAGTATTTCAGTTTCTATTCGTTTAAACACGTTTTACGTGTCGAAACATGCAAAATAAAGAGATAACAGTCGTTTGCAGTACCGCAAAACGTGTTTTTCGCGAGAAAACAGCAGTATTTCAGTTTCTATTCTGTGACGTCGAGTGACGACGTTGGAGTTAGTATTAAGTTAAGATTAAGACCACATATATAATCAATAGATTAAGTCCTATACTCCTATCTCACATAAACATCCTCTGACTCCACGCTATCTTATCTCCCATAAACATCCTTCAGCCACATCGAACATAACACTCCTATCTCACATAAACATCCTCTGACTCCACGCTATCTTATCTCCCATAAACATCCTTCAGCCACATCGAGCATACCACTCCTATCTCATATAAACATCCTCTGACTCCACTCTATCATATCTCCCATAAACATCCTTCAGCCACATCGAGCATACCACTCCTATCTCATATAAACATCCTCTGACTCTACTAAACATCCTTCAGCCACACCGTACATTCCACTTCTATCTCCTATAAACATCCTCCGATCAAACCGAGCAACTCAATACTTTCCCATAACAAAACCCAGAAAAAAACAGAGATAATTGTAAGCATCCCCGCGATGCCCGAACCACCAAGCAAACCATATAAATTAAGCCACAAGAGAATCAGAAGCAGACTCAGTTCCGATCAAGTACCGCGCAGGTACGGACTCTCGACGAGCCGTACCTCTAGAGGCTCTGGAATCCGCTTCCATCCTCTCGACATCGCGATACTATTTCCACACGTTACTATTTCCATACGCTACTATTTCCATACGTTACTATATTATATCTTAATAATTACTAAATACGATTAAGTGTGTATTCCATTTATTATAAAATACATAAATATTATTCTGGTATTCTTAACCTACCGTTTAACTATTATTCACCATTCCGATCGCGTCGCGCCGAAAGTAAATCTCGGCTACATAATTATTACGCGAATATCCTCAGTCAGTTCATCCAAGTATTGGCCACTGTATGCCGAATCACCGTCACCTAACGACGAGACAACGAGGAGACAGATAAATATCACCATCATCGACGCAGCGGTAGCAGCAGATCGCAGTCCCCTGCCATATCTGAACGTACGTGCCACTTGGGCAGAAAGATTGAAAGAGATACGCACCGGGAAAGAATCGCAAGTATTCTAAACATTCGTCCCGGGACGTAATAAATTGGTGACAGCGGTGGGATTCACAATCGCTGCGATAAGATAACTGTAGCCGCACGCCTAACGAGGTGACATCACTCCTCTGGCATCCGCGCCACGCGCAGAGTCAAGCGTGAGAAAGGCGAGGTGACATCACCACCCCCTCCACTCACGGGCAGGAGACCCGAGCGCTCAGCCCAGACGCTCAGTCGAGCTCCAGACATCGCGCAGTATGGACGTGCCAGTGAATCAGTGCTAGAGAGTATTCCTATATCATCGAACCATAGAATATTTTCAAAACGCTAATTCGTTGCTGAACGCCATAAGGCGAACAACAGCGGCTGAACGCGGAGAAAATTTTTTTTTCTTTCTTTCTTCCTTTCTTTTGTGCGTGCATACACTCGAATGGCAAACCTGAGCAAAGCGCCCTAAGGCGAGCGAAGGCAAACCATCCGAGTGATCGCGAAAGATCCCTAGAATCAGGAATCGTATGGAGAGTGTTCGCCGTAAGGCTGCAGCGCCGACCATGCTCAACCTGAGACAGGTGAACTTCGGTTAATAATT